TACGATTATACAAAAAAGGGAGGTCATAACACAAGTTAGCATGGAAAGTCTGATCTTTCAGAGCTTTTCCCGAGCTACCCGGAATCTGTCAGACGATAGCCGTCGCATAGCTTGTGTTAGCTCATCATATTTTTTTCTTAGCAAAAAATGATCCTTAATTAAGTAGATATCTGGGAGTTACTTTCTGCACAATTTTTTAAAATAGGTCACACAGATTGCTTTTTTTTTTTTTAAAGATTTATTTATTTGTGTATACAGAACTGGGGTATAAACCAGAGGTATAGGGGTAGGGGTGGTGTGGAGATTCACCAGAGAAAGAGTGGGGAGCAGAACAGACAGATTGACGAAGCACACTGCTGAGGGGAGCAGCGGGTGGGTCAGGAGAGGTCTGCTGCATCATGTGGGTCACCTCAGTTTTGGGGATCAAACTGAAGTGGCTTAGCTTCTTAGTGCTTTAACCTGCTGTGCCACCAGGGAGGGACCCATGCTTTATTATTATTTTTAAAGATTTATTTATTTATGCATACAAAATGGGGTACAGGCCAGAGGTGCAGAGGCATTGAGAGGATTTACCAGAGACAGAGTAGGGAGCAGAGCAGGCAGATCAAATAAACACAGTGCTGAGGGGCAGCAGGCTAGACAGGAGAGGATCGCCCTGAGGGGCAGCAGGCTAGACAGGAGAGGATCGCCGCGCCATGTTCATCACATTCCTGGATGAAGAGGTTGTGGATAGCTTCATAGTGCTGTGCTTTAACTCCGTGCACTAACAGGGAGGGCCTTCTGCATAGTTATATCTATAAATGATTAATATACATAGATATAGAGTAGATTAATTGTGTAAATCCAAGGCATAAGCATATTGATTTGATTTACATGTATAGTGAAATGATTTCTTCAATACATTAACTATAATCCACTTTTTATTAGATAAAATAAAAAGAAGCAAAAGAGGAAAAATTGTTACATCACAGACACACACAAAACCCACTGCAACAACAAACAGTGTTAAGAGTCACTCCTACCAAGTTTTCTACATACCTCACAGCAGTGTTAACTGTAGGCATTATGTATATAATTACTAGGAATCGGATTTCTTTTATAAGTGAGTATGTGTGTGTGTGTATTGCATCATTGTTAATTTCTGTGCAGTGTTTGTCTCAGATGTAGTCCCCACAGATTTCCTACCACCTATTCACCCATGAGCCATTACATAGCCCCTTGTCTCTTTCTGCCCCTGTTTTAATCCTTCCCTCTCTCTCCTGCTATATGTCTCCAATTCAGTTTCCTGTTAGTTTTTTCCCCCTGATGCCTCACTTTTCCCCCTTATATTCCTCCTATAAGTCACACTATCTGGCATTTTTCTTTTTCCTTCTGGTTCACTTTACGGAGCATAATCCCTTCTAGCTCTAAGGAAATGGAATGTCTAGGCAGAGGGAACAGTTGTATAAGACCTGTGTGAGTGTGCACTTGGTGTGTTCTGACTCACCTGCAGACCTCGTGGCTTCTGGAATTGAGGAGTCATGGATATAAGAGATGACAATAGTGTTGTAAAATGATATTATGGATCCAGCATACACAGGTCGAGGATGGGTGATTAATGCTACCAAAGGCCATATACAAACTCACCAGGAAGTAGGCTCTGGAGCTGTGACTATTTTATCAGGCCCTTTCCATATGTCACTTTAGCCTAGAGGAGGAAGGACGAGGGCTCCAGGGAGCACGGTGATTTTGGTAACAGTGGTTAAATTCATGGATTTGTGTTTTGGGGACTTGTGGGCAGAGTTGGTAAAGACTGTGAGGGGAGCAGGGTGGGCTGGGCCTGGCCCCCGGCAGGTGGAGAAGGCTGTGTGCTGTGTTCTTGTGTTTGGATGTGAAACTGTTGAAAGCTTTGAGCATAACAGGGCTTAGAATGATGGCTCTGGAGTGTTAGGAGAAGGCAGGGGAGAGAGTCTGGAGGTGTGGAGAGCAGCTAT